ATTTCACGTTCCCGAGTTATCGGAAGTTTCGTTCCAAGGAGGCAGGGCTTTACTTGCCTGATCCTGCTTATAACATCACAGTCAATAAAATTGTGCAGGTTGATTTTCTCTCCAGCTCTTGGTTCTTATCTGCAGAGCTTGTTAAGACGCTTTTCATTGAAACTCCATTCACCTTTGCAACAGGGGAAGATCTCCATCTAAGGTAACTTTAACTCGATTTATGTTCCTGCTTTCTTCATTTCTACCGTACTACAAATCAACTGAGTCATGACATAACGTCAAATCCCACATCGGTTCGAGAGAAGAACGAATCATTCCTTATAAGGGTGAGGAAATCTCTCCTACTAGACGGGTTTTAAAACCTTGAGAGGAAGCCTAGAAGGCAAAGTCCAAAGAGGACAATATTTGCTAGTGGTGGGTTTAAGCTCTTACAAATGGTATCAGAGTCAGTCACCTAACGGTGCAAAGCACTAGTCAGAATAAGGCTAGACAATTTCCATAGTAGATGCGTTTTAAAACCTTGAGGGGAAGCCTTTGAGCGGAAAGCCCAAAGAGAACAATATCTACTGGCAATGGGTTTGGACTGTTACAAATGGTATCAAAGCTAGACACTGAGCGGTGTGCCAGCGAGAACGCTGACCCCCAAGGGGAGTGGATTGTGAGATCCTGCATCGGTTGGAGAGGAGAACGAAACATTCCTTATAAGGGTGTGGAAACCTCTTCCCAATAGACATGTTTTAAAACCTTGAGGAAAAGCCCAAAGAAAACAATATCTGCTAGCGGTGGCCTTACATGTAACATGACAAACGAAAGCTTATGTATTGTCTTTTTGGTGCGTTATTTGCAACAAACTAGCACAATTATGGAATGGAAATTGTGCAATAAAATTCCTTTGAGCCAAGCATTATCAGAATTTCACATTATAAATGGCTTTAGCACTGAAATTTGATCTCACCTTTCCAGTAAATTCTGGTCAGCTAATTGTTATCCATCCCAAATTATGCAGCTATCAGCTTCAAAAATACAGAAACGCAGGCTCGTTCGTTCTTCCTGTAGATCCAAAAGACAAGGAAACCTGGGGTGACAGTGAACACAGGCTAGCTTACGTGTCCGAGACAACTGTGATATTTAAGGACATCGTTCAAGTTCGGGACGATCAATGGTGGAAAGCGCTGTCAACTGGTTATGTCACACAATGGGCAGCCATGCATCCTCAAAAGATAGATGCTCTATTCTATGCTCATTCTGTTGATGAAGTTAAAGCACTAGCCCCACTTCTTGAAAAGTTCAGGTCCACTATTGGCAAGAAAGCTTATATTGTAGTGTCGGGAGGCACTTTTTGCCCATGTGAAGATGCTGCAGCTGCTCTTAAATGGCCTAAGTTGGTGTGTAAAGAACGGAGGTTCAAGATATTTGACTTAGCCATTGGGGCTCTCTCTGGCCTATCAAATTCTGAGGTGCCCGTGGTGCAAGCAGTGTATGCTAGTATGAAGGGATTGATCCAAATACACAATCCAAGCATCATCGTCACAGTAGCCAATCTCGATCCTAACGTAAAGAAGGCTTTGAAAATGGCGTCCGAGGCTAACATGAATACTACAACACTGATTCTTTTACCAAGGCCTTCCATTTCAAAAGTTCTTTGGATGGCTGATCTTCGACCAACCGCAATTCCAAGTAAGAACACTACGACACTTTTTTCGCTCAGTCGAAAATTCTTGCCATAGCGTAACACTTGTGCGTTTTTTTCCTTCTTCAGATTGGAACAAGATGCGGATTTCAATCAACATTATCACACAAAACCGTGCCAATTCGTTAACAAGGCTTCTCAAATCACTCAAAGATGCATATTACCTAGGGGATGAGATACCTATCAGCTTCAACATGGACAGCAAAGTGGATGAGGAAACTATCAAATTAGTAAGCTCATTTGAGTGGCCCCATGGCCCCAAAAGCCTTAGAAGGAGAATCATCCAAGGAGGGCTAATACGAGCAGTGAGCGAGAGTTGGTATCCAGCTTCAGATGACGATTACGGTCTCTTACTCGAAGATGATATCGAAGTCTCTCCATACTACTACCTATGGATCAAATATGCCCTCCTAGCATACCACTATGATCCACAAATATCTCTACCTGAGCTATCGACGATATCGCTATACACACCTCGGCTAGTCGAAGTGGTGAAGGAAAGGCCTAAATGGAATGCAACAGAGTTTTTCAAGCGGATTCATCCAAACACACCTTACCTCCACCAGCTTCCCTGCAGCTGGGGAGCAGTTTTCTTCCCCAAACATTGGAGGGAATTTTATGTTTACATGAACTCAAGATTCACAGAAAATGCCAAAGAAAATCCAGTTCAAATCCCTAAATCAAGAACAAACGGTTGGCAGGCATCATGGAAGAAGTTCCTAATCGACATGATGTACCTAAGAGGCTACGTAAGTCTGTACCCAAATTTCCCAAATCAAGCCAGTTTTTCAACAAATCACATGGAACCAGGCGCTCACATAAGTGCAAAAGACAACATCGTGAAGCATAACAAGGAAGATTTCGAGGTTCCATTACTCAAAGAAAACTTCGTGAATTTCTTACCTAATGGCAAATTGCCGGCGGCTTCGAGACTGCCGTCGCTGAACCTCTTCAATCAACCGGTTTCTCTGAAGGGACTCAAATCCGCCGGAGCCAAACTAAGGCAAGATGTTCTGAAATGCGAAGTTTCGGAGATTGTAGCGGTGAATCATCAAACTGGTCTGCCTTCGCATTGCGCAAAATTCTGATTTGTTCTTGAGGATTTTTTACTTCTTTTCGGCAATAAATTTGCTGAATTTCATCACTTTGCATGTAATTTGGTTGGTATGATCTGATCGATTTAATAACAATAAAGAAAAAAAAGAAAAGCATTCAATTTGAACATTGTCTATAATTCGTGAATGTCGTGCATTGGAATTATCGTGATACATAGTATGATTGTGATACTAACAACTATTCTTATAAGAAGGAAGTAAGACGACGTCAACAAGCACACGAACAACGTTAGTGATAAACTTGATGATAATTTTGTCCTCGTTTGATGGAAACGGAATGACTTGAAGTACGAGTTTTTAAAAAATTGCTCGAGATGTTTTGGTAGCTTTAGTGTGTATTGTGACTACTAAATCATCTATTGGGAAGAGGTTTTTTTTATTCTTTTAAGAGTTGAGAAATGACAATTAGTCATATCCCCTCCCTCATAGTACGTTTGGGACAGTTTAGCCCGAGTGTAGACATGATTTTGGTGAACAGTCATACGCCCCACATTGACCCAATATGAAATGGTAAAGGCCTATTCAGGATGAAAGCACGTAAAAATGGTTTAGAACAGGCATGCAACCATAGACAACACAACCCTCGACTGGAACAAGCATGCAACCATAGACAAACACAACTCTGGACAAGTAAGACCAGGATATCTATCATGCAACCAAGACAACACAACCTGGACAAGTAAGATATCTGTCATGCAGCCAAGACAACACAACCTGGACAAGTAAGACAACACAACCTGGACAAGTAAGATATCTGTCATGCAGCCAAGACAACACAACCTGGACAAGTAAGACAACACAACCTGGACAAGTAAGATATCTGTCATGCAGCCAAGACAACACAACCTGGACAAGTAAGACAACACAACCTGGACAAGTAAGATATCTGTCATGCAGCCAAGACAACACAACCTGGACAAGTAAGACAACACAACCTGGACAAGTAAGATATCTGTCATGCAGCCAAGACAACACAACCTGGACAAGTAAGACAACACAACCTGGACAAGTAAGATATCTGTCATGCAGCCAAGACAACACAACCTGGACAAGTAAGACAACACAACCTGGACAAGTAAGATATCTGTCATGCAGCCAAGACAACACAACCTGGACAAGTAAGACAACACAACCTGGACAAGTAAGATATCTGTCATGCAGCCAAGACAACACAACCTGGACAAGTAAGACAACACAACCTGGACAAGTAAGATATCTGTCATGCAGCCAAGACAACACAACCTGGACAAGTAAGACAACACAACCTGGACAAGTAAGATATCTGTCATGCAGCCAAGACAACACAACCTGGACAAGTAAGACAACACAACCTGGACAAGTAAGATATCTGTCATGCAGCCAAGACAACACAACCTGGACAAGTAAGACAACACAACCTGGACAAGTAAGATATCTGTCATGCAGCCAAGACAACACAACCTGGACAAGTAAGACAACACAACCTGGACAAGTAAGATATCTGTCATGCAGCCAAGACAACACAACCTGGACAAGTAAGACCAGGACATCTGTCAACCAGGACATCTAGACAACACGCATGATAGTAACACTTTGCATGCTAGAGCTTTTTTGGTCAAGTCAATCTCCATAGACAACACGCCTTGGACATGCATGACAATGACACTTTGCATGCTAGAGCTTTTTTGGTCAAGTCAACTCGACCAACCCGACCAACTGAACCCGTCAAGTCAACCCGACCAACTGAACCCAATTCAACTCTACCCAACCTACATTTGTAATGTTTTAGGTCAGATTTGAGTGCATTAATTAAGTTTCCTAATCAACACTCTAAATGTCATTAAATATAAAGATGAGGACTATTAATTTCCTTTTTATTATGGAAAGGGATGAAAAAATTATGGCCTTAAAAAACAGTTTCAAAAGATCAGCCATGAAGGTTGGTAAATTAAAAAATTAAGAGCCAATCAAAATGAGAGTAAGCAACTAAGCAACCCAGTCAACAGCCTTAATTACAGCAAAAGTTGTTACCAAATCCACAGATTTTGACAGAGCTGATGAGCCATTATGAGCCCTAATATATAAACCTTAATAATAACTCTTCATCCAAATTGTGTCTGTTCATACAAAAACCAAAAAAAATAAATAAAATATATATTTATATATATAAAAACAAACATTCAGCTGAGAGATATAATAGAAAAAGAAAACAAAAGATGGCCGGAGGTGGGTTTGTTTCTCAGTCCGGTGGTAAGGTCTATGAGGGAGGTGTCAATGCTTTTGTTATTATCACTTGTATGGTTGCAGCCATGGGCGGTCTCATCTTTGGATACGATCTCGGAATATCAGGTTGGTTATAATAATATATCTTTTTTCTAAATCTCGGTAGTACTATGAATATTGTTTGTATTAGTAGATGTGAATATGATCTCGGAATATCAGGTGGGTTAGAGCAATAGATCTTTCTAAGTCACTGTAATGATATCAATGTTGTTCATGTTGAGCGCCATCGTCTCTGTAGATGTGAGTAGAAATCAAGTGGGTTCGAGTAGTAGATCTTTCTGAATCATCGTGATGATATGAATATTGTTCATGTGAAGTGTATCATATCAATAGATGTGAATATGATCTCAAGATATTATGTCAAGTCTCATCGTGTCAGTAGATATGCATATGATCTCAGAATATCAGGTGGGTTCTCAATAGATCTATCTAAATTGCTAGAGTATTACTATGGATATTGTTCATGTTGAGCGTTATTATGTTAGTAGATGTGAATATGGTCTCGGGATATCTAGTGGATTCTCAATAGATCTTTCTAAATTGCTATAGTACTATAGATATTGTCCATGTTGAGCGTTATTATGTTAGTAGATGTGAATATGGTCTCGGGATATCTGGTGGGTTCTCAATAGATCTTTCTAAATTGCTACAGTACTATGGATATTGTTCATGTTGAGCGTTATTATGTCAGTAGATGTGAATATGGTCTCGGGATATCAGGTGGGTTAGAGCAATACATCTATATAAATCATCATGATGATATAAATATTGTTCATCTCAAGCGTCATCGTATCAATAGATGTGACTATGATCTCGAGATATCAGGTGGGTTAGAACAATACATCTTTCTAAATCACCATAATGTTTTGTTTATGTCAAGCGTCATCGTGTCACGAGATATTAGGTGGATTCTCAATAGATCTTTCTAAATTACTATAGAACTATGGCTATTGTTCATGTCGAGCGTCACCGTGTCAATAGATGTGAATGTGATCTCAAGATATCAAATGGGTCCGAGCAATAAACCTTTCTAAATCACCATAATGATGTGATTGATAGCTTTGTTTGTTTCCAGGAGGGGTGACTTCAATGGAAACTTTCCTGAAGCAATTCTTCCCATCAGTGTATGAACAACAAGAAAAGGCGGCAGGAGGGAACCAGTACTGCAAGTTTGACAGCCAGCTCCTAACATTGTTCACATCTTCACTATACTTGGCTGCATTATTTGCCTCTTTCTTTGCATCAACCGTAACCAGGGCTTTTGGAAGAAAAATGTCAATGCTGGTTGGAGGCTTAGTCTTCTTGTTGGGCTCAATCTTAAACGGAGCTGCTGTCAACGTCGAAATGCTAATCATCGGTAGATTGCTACTCGGATTCGGCGTCGGCTTTGCCAATCAGGTTAACATCACTACAAGAAATAATAGATACGATACTAATCAATGTCTAACCCATCATAGATACGATAGCTCTGGTACTAGTCGGTGTCTGACCCGTCATAGGTACGATGGCTCTGGTACTAGTCGGTGTCTGACCCGTCATAGGTACGATGGCTCTGGTACTAGTCGGTGTCTGACCCATCATAGGTACGATGGCTCTGGTACTAGTCAGTGTCTGACCCATCATAGGTACGATGGCTCTGGTACTAGTCAGTGTCTGACCCATCATAGGTACGATGGCTCTGGTACTAGTCGGTGTCTGACCCGTCATAGGTACGATGGCTCTGGTACTAGTCGGTGTCTGACCCGTCATAGGTACGATGGCTCTGGTACTAGTCAGTGTCTGACCCATCATAGGTACGATGGCTCTGGTACTAGTCAGTGTCTGACCCATCATAGGTACGATGGCTCTGGTACTAGTCAGTGTCTGACCCATCATAGATACGATGGCTCTGGAACTAGTCAGTGTCTGACCCATCATAGATACGATGGCTCTGGAACTAACCGATGTCTAACCCATCATAGATACGATGGCTCTGGAACTAACCGATGTCTAACCCATCATAGATACGATGGCTCTGGATGGCTCTGGAACTAACCGATGTCTAACCCATCATAGATACGATGGCTCTGGATGGCTCTGGAACTAACCGATGTCTAACCCATCATAGATACGATGGCTCTGGTACTAGTCAGTGTCTGACCCATCATAGGTACGATGGCTCTGGTACTAGTCAGTGTCTGACCCATCATAGATACGATGGCTCTGGTACTAGTCAGTGTCTGACCCATCATAGATACGATGGCTCTGGAACTAACCGATGTCTAACCCATCATAGATACGATGGCTCTGGAACTAACCGATGTCTAACCCATCATAGATACGATGGCTCTGGATGGCTCTGGAACTAACCGATGTCTAACCCATCATAGATACGATGGCTCTGGAACTAACCAATGTCTAACCCATCATAGATACGATGGCTCTGGAACTAACCAATGTCTAACCCATCATAGATACGATGGCTCTGGAACTAACCAATGTCTAACCCATCATAGATATGATGGCTCTGGATGGCTCTGGAACTAACCAATGTCTAACTCATCATAGATACGATGGCTCTGGAACTAACCAATGTCTAACCCATCATAGATACGATGGCTCTGGATGGCTCTGGAACTAACCAATGTCTAACCCATCATAGATACGATAGCCCTGCGTCTTATCAATGTCTAACCCATCATATCTTCGAACGCAGTCGGTTCCAGTTTACCTTTCGGAAATGGCACCCGCAAAAATCAGAGGAGCTCTAAACATCGGCTTCCAAATGGCCATTACCATAGGGATCTTTGTGGCAAATCTAATCAACTACGGAACAGCACAGATCAAAGGCGGATGGGGATGGAGGCTGTCCTTAGCTCTTGCAGCCGTGCCAGCAATCATGATGAGCGTTGGCGCGCTGTTCCTACCCGACACCCCCAACTCGATCCTCGAGCGAGGCAACACGGAGAAGGCGAAGCAGATGTTGAAAAAGATTAGAGGTTTGGATGATGTGGACGAGGAATTTCAAGACCTTGTGGATGCATGCGAGGCTGCAAAGAAAGTGCAACACCCTTGGAAGAACATCATGCAGCCAAGATACAGGCCTCAGCTTGTGATATGCATGTTCATCCCATTCTTCCAGCAGCTCACAGGAATCAATGTCATTACATTCTACGCGCCGGTTCTCTATAAAACTCTCGGGTTCGGCGACAGCGCATCGCTCATGTCTGCGGTGATCTCGGGCGCAGTCAATGTCGTGGCGACGATCGTATCGATCGTGACGGTGGACAGGTTCGGTCGGAAGTTTTTGTTCCTGGAAGGAGGTATACAGATGTTCATTTCCCAGATTGCTGTGGGATTGATGATATGGAAGAATTTTGGAGTCAACGGTGAAGGATCAATGTCGGGAGGAAAAGAGGCTGATATCTTACTGTTTCTAATCTGTGTCTACGTGGCAGGGTTCGCGTGGTCGTGGGGGCCGTTAGGATGGTTGGTGCCAAGTGAGATCTGCCCGCTCGAGATTCGGTCGGCGGGTCAAGCAATCAACGTGTCGGTCAATATGTTGTTGACTTTCTTCATAGGTCAACTGTTCTTGTCAATGCTTTGCCACATGAAGTTTGGTCTGTTCTTCTTCTTTGCAGGGTTTGTGGCGGTTATGACCGTTTTCATACACTTCTTCTTGCCTGAGACAAAGAATGTCCCAATTGAGGAAATGAACGGTGCGTGGAAGGCTCATTGGTTTTGGGGGAAGTTCATTCCGGACGATGCTGTCATTGGCCATCATCATCCTTCCAATGTCGAGCTCTATGGCAAGGTTGTCTGAATTTTTTTTTTTGTAGAATTTAAGGTTATTGCAATAAGGAGAGGAGAGGAAGAGTATGGTATTGTTTTAATTTTGATTCTTAATGAAACTTTTAGGTCGGTCTGACAATTTTGATAGAACTCTCGTTCGAAAGTGTTCGCTATGTTACTTTACTTTTCGTTACTAAAAGTGAAAACTATGTCGATAAACCAACATAATTCTTTCTAGAATTGCTCTAGGTGAAGTAAAAATGTCGATTTCGCGAGGCAATCCACATCATCACAGAACGTCCTAAATAATTGACTGAGTTTCTCGAAATCTTCCCTCTTTGCCTTCAATTACATCGGAAAATGACTTCTTATTATGGTCATCTTTGGTTAGGATCACTCTCATTATCGTGTAAAGTTATTTGTGATCAAACCACCAATCATTCTTAGTTAGGATCACTCTCATGTAAATGTGGTATCAGTTTATTCCTCTCCTTGACTGTCACAATTACACTTTTGATAGTAGCGGGCTTACACTCACTTCCCAACAAGAAGTGAGTTAAGTCACTTCATTCTTTCTTACGTCTGTCTATGGCCGGCCAAGCGATGTATGCTCAGCCTCAAGCCCTAGTTCAAGAACAAAGTTTAGAAAACGAGGGTCGAGAGATTTTGACTAGCCCCCAGTTCAAAAGAAAACGAGGGCTGAGAGATTTATATGTGACAACTAGTCATATCCACCTTTACATGCTTACGTCTACCATTTCATATTGGATCAAGTGTATGATTCATCACCAACAATGGCTAAAATGTTCTGAAATAGTGTCATTTTTAACTCCCTAAATTTCAATATCTATTTTTTAATATTAGAATTTTATCCATATATTTGTAAAATTAAAATTTTAATAATTTTTATGGAAACTAAATAATAATAATTTATATGCAATAAATGACTTCCAACATATTTTTATAAATATTTAATAATAAATTAATAATAGAGATTAAAAATTCATTACAAATAAATATCATACCATTACGGAGAGTCGTGTTCGTCTACCATAGTGTATTAAGAAATTGAAAACTTTGTTATTAAGAATCGAGATAGGTATAAGTAAAGGGGATCCGTGCTTTTATCATAAGAAAGCTCTAAAAAATCAAAATTATTAAAATGAAAAAGGGGAAAAAAATAATAATAATTGTAAAATAAGAAAAAAAAACTAAAAAATTGGTCAGCTTGAACCAACTGCCCTTCCTTTTATGTCTTTATGAGATGGACTCCGACTCAAAAAGGAATACCTTTTTTTTTTCCTCTCTTTTTCTTTTCCTAAAATCAAACCCATTTTATTAAATTACTATTATTACCCATAAAAATTTGCTTTTTTAAACATGTGCGTTCAATGTGACTTAAACAAATCAATATATATATATATTTTTTTTTTTTTTTCAAATTTTAATGGGATGATTTGTAAAGACGATGTGTCACGATAAGCTCTCATGGCTTTGCTTTGAGCTTCCCAAAAGGCCTCACCCAAATGGAAAGAGTGTTCTTTTTTTATAAACCAATGATCGTTCTCTAAATTAGTCGATGTGGGACTTTCATCATCCAACACCTCCTCTCGGACAAAGTACGCCTCCCCTTAATCGAGACTAACTCCTTTAAAGTCTTAGTCATTTTTTGAGGAGGCTTGACTCCCTTTCTTTTGGAATCCTTTGTTCGACATTTGAGGATTTTTCAGTATTTAATTAGTTTGTATTTTCTTTATCGGTAAGTATTAGTTAGTAGCTTGTATCTCAATTCTATTTTTCATTTTTAACATAAGTAACATAATTATGTTACAGCGGATTTTTAAGTCGTTAGGTATCGAGATTTCGAATCTTCATTTGAATTATGAGCATAGGACGGAGAGTGTCAAAGTCATTAAGTGTCGAATTACGAATCTAAATTAATGTTTGAACTAACTATTTAAATTTTTTAAATTTTCAAATATGGGCTTAATTACTAAATGGAGCAGTATTTATGGAATTAATTTTAAAAAATTAAATAGTTATCTAACGAGAATTATATTTTTGGAAGCTATTTATACGATATTATTATTATTTTATTTATTTATTTATTATTATTATTTTTAAAAAAGAAGTTTACATTATTTTAGATTCTAAATTAAATAATAAACAATAAGTGTTTTGTTTTCTTTTTATTTTCTTTTATTTCCTTTGAGAAAACGTGAAAAATAAAATAAATGTTAAATTACGAATTTATTTACCTTAATTTAATTGTGCTCTGCATTCTATGTATAAACCATACATAAAAATATGTCACAAATTCCCAAGTAATAAAATAATTGATATAAAACTATATATTATATTAATTGATATAAAACTATATATTATATTATATTAATATAAAACTATATATTATATTCAGGTTATGGAATTTGTCGGCATTGATATGGTCAATAAATGCGTTAGAAGACAGCATGTGTTCACATAATTCTTTTAAAATTATACAATTGTTTCCATTTTTTTATTTTATAAAATTTAATAATATTCACAAAAAAAAATAATAATAATTTTACGTTACCATATCATATAATTTTTTCATTTATTTACCATAAAATTCTCAACCATTATTTATTTTAATTTTTTAAATAAATATAAATTATTTATTTTTAAACCTTAAATTAAGATTTTTAATTTCAAAATATTTTTTAAAAATCTAAAATGGGTCAACTTCTCCCTACCTTAAGTTATATGTCGTAAGCGACCATGTAACACTAATTTCAATTTCTCAAAGTTTTCAAAACTCTCTGCCCCGTTTTTTAAAATTTTCTTCTTGAACCGGGGCCAAAGCCTCGAGCATACGTCGTTTGGCTGTAGGCGATGCAAGAACAAATAGGCTTAACTCACTTGTTGCGGGAAATGAGTGTCGCACAATCGCAAATCCACTGCCATCAAAGTGCGATTGTAACAAATATAATTTTTTTATTCATAAAATGAACAGATGATTTAGTCAGTGTGTTCGATTGAATATGTAACCCTAAAAGTAAAAAATCTCGGGAAAATCTTTGCTATTCTCTTTTGCATTTTTTTTTTTCATCTATATCATAAAGTTGGTTGACATTAGCTGTAATCGCAGAAAATAAGGGCAAACCATGACCCCAAATAAAAAGCTTCGATAGAACAACTAAACGAGCAATCCGACAACTAATGTCTCATCTTAGTCGTACCAAAGTAAGAATGCATCTTTCCGAGTGACCACACGTCACTCTATTTTAGATATCCGTACATTTCTTTCTTTATCATTTAGTTACGAGAATAAATAATTAAAAATAAAATGAGTGTATTAAATTCAACTCCGTAATCTAATGGAGAATTTGTGGAGATTGAATTGATCCATCTAATAAATATATGGCTTCAATTCAATCCGAACTAATTTTAGAGTAAGTTATTATTAACTTAAAATATATACGAATTGGATTGAATTGATGGAGGTGGCGTTGTAATGGCGGAGAATTTAATAATTTATTAGGAGAGAGAGAGTGATGGTTGGGAAAGTAGAAGCAGACAGGGAAGAACCGATGAATTCTTCAATAAATGCTCCAACCTTAACCGCTAAGCTTCCTCTTGTCCTCTCTGATTCTCTATAAAATCTTGAATTCCCTTCTCATTTCTTCCACCGACGCGCCACCACAAGCACAATTCAATCCTCGCAATGGGAAAGGGAAAGGGAAAGGGCAAGGATAAGGGAAAAGCCGCCGCGGACGGCGGCGGAATTTGGTACGGTGGGGCGGTTGACTTTTCGGCGCTTCCTGAAGGCTGCATCGCTCACATACTCTCCTTCACTTCTCCTCAAGATGTGTGCCGCTCTGCTTCCGTCTCCTCCACTTTCCGATCCGCCGCTGAAGCTGACGCCGTTTGGGAACGTTTTCTCCCGCTGGAATATGGCGAGGAAATTTCGGAAGCTGTTTCGAAGGTTTTTCCTCCTTTTGCTTCCAAGAAAGAGCTCTATTTCCATCTCTGCCGCGTCCCTGTTCTAATCCACGGCGGCGCTAAGGTAAAAATTGCACCGCTACAAATTCTAGTTTAATTATCTGGTCGGATTGAAATGAGACTGCCATTATTTGATTCATCCACGCTCATCATCCTGCGATAATTTAGGGAAATTGTGAAGAAATTTTGAAATATTTAGGTTTTGAAAAGCGTGATTTCAGATTTAGGGAAATTGTGAAGAAATTTTGAAATATTTAGGTTTTGAAAAGCGCGATTTCAAATTTAGGGAAATTGTGAAGAAATTTTGAAATATTTAGGTTTTGAAAAGCGCGATTTCAAATTATTCATGAATTGTTCTCGTTACGCTTCTGTTTTAAATTGATAGAGCACTTTTTTGTAATCTTGGTTGACTTTTTGTCTTAATTTAGAGTAGAAATTGGAACTGTTCATAAAGGGATCACTTTTTCTTTTGGATTCAATCCACTTTTCACTTTAAAAAATGAACTAATCCCTAATTTTGGCGTTCTTTAATTGAATTTCAGAGCTTCTCACTGGATAAAAAAACAGGGAAGAAATGCTTCATGATCGCTCCAAGAGAGCTCTTCATTGTCTGGGGCGATGCTCCAAGGTATTGGAGATGGACTTCTGATCCTGAATCAAGGTCAATCCACCATTCCTTAGTTCATAAGTTGTTTAGAATCACTTTTAGTTCATAAGAGTATGAGTATCGAGGCATTATTTGATGATGAATTGTGATGATGAACAGGTTTGTGGAGCTAGCAGAGCTGCTGAGCGTATGTTGGCTTGAGATCAGGGGCAAGATAGATACAGAAATGCTATCACCAGGCACATTATATGCAGCCTATATGGTGTTCAAGCTAACATCCTCGGACGGCTTCCAACGCCAGCCCGTCGAGGTTGGAGTCGGCCTTGTCGGGTCCGAAGCAACCAAGCAAACAGTTTATTTAGACAACGTAGATAGTGAATGGCGACAGCGCCACCCAATTGTGTCGAGGGGGATCGGCCTTTTCAACCTTAACAGACGATGCGTCACAATCGGCACACAGGTAGCTATGCCCCCCCATGAAACCACCAGGAACAATGCCCCAGCCGAGGACTGCAGTCACCGCGTCGTCCCGAAGGAGAGGGAGGACGGGTGGCTGGAGGTTCAGCTTGGTGTGTTCTTCCATGATGGGGGGGTCAATGGGGAGCTGGAGATGAGCGTGTTGGAGGTCAAGGGTGGGCATTGGAAGAGCGGTTTGCTTATACAGGGAATTGAAATCAGGCCAAAAGACTTGAAGACCTAATTATAGAAGAACATCATTTCACAGTGTAAATTTTTGAGAGCTTGTCTTTGAATTTTGAGAGGCTATATATGAATAGTCTGACCACGTATATCTTTATTATAAGATAAATATCTAGATATTTGCTTTCTTAATAGAGGTATCTTTACGCTGTTATTTCTATTTATTTCTATTTACGTATTCACGTGTGGTGGATTATACAAATATTCTCACTATTTATTTCTATTTACGTATTATTCAGATGTTTATTATAAGATAAATATCTAGATATTTGCTTTTTTAATAGAGGTGTTTTTACGTATACTGTTATTTCTATTTATTTCTATTTATTTCTATTTATTTCTATTTACGTATTCACGTGTGGTGGATTATACAAATATTCTCACTATTTATTTCTATTTACGTATTATTCAGATGTTTATTATAAGATAAATATCTAGATATTTGCTTTTTTAATAGAGGTGTTTTCACGTATACTGTTATTTCTATTTATTTCTATTTATTTCTATTTATTTCTATTTACGTATTCACGTGTGGTGGATTATACAAATATTCTCACTATTTATTTCTATTTACGTATTATTCAGATGTTTATTATAAGATAAATATCTAGATATTTGCTTTTTTAATAGAGGTGTTTTTACGTATACTGTTATTTCTATTTATTTCTATTTATTTCTATTTATTTCTATTTATTTCTATTTACGTATTCACGTGTGGTGGATTATACAAATATTCTCACTATTTATTTCTATTTACGTATTATTCAGATGTTTATTATAAGATAAATATCTAGATATTTGCTTTTTTAATAGAGGTGTTTTTACGTATACTGTTATTTCTATTTATTTCTATTTATTTCTATTTACGTATTCACGTGTGGTGGATTATACAAATATTCTCACTATTTATTTCTATTTACGTATTATTCAGATGTTTATTATAAGATAAATATCTAGATATTTGCTTTTTTAATAGAGGTGTTTTTATGTATACTGTTATTTCTATTTATTTCTATTTATTTCTATTTATTTCTATTTACGTATTCACGTGTGGTGGATTATACAAATATTCTCACTATTTATTTCTATTTACGTATTATTCAGATGTTTATTATAAGATAAATATCTAGATATTTGCTTTCTTAATAGAGGTATCTTTACGTATACTGTTATTTCTATTTATTTCTATTTACGTATTCACGTGTGGTGGATTATACAAATATTCTCACTATTTATTTCTATTTACGTATTATTCAGATGTGGTGGATTATACAAATATTCTCACTGGTTTTTTAAATTAATTGAATTAATTTCAAGAATAATGTCGTTAGAAATAGAAAAATTTGTACGATCAATGAGCTAGTTATATATATTGCATATTACATATAGCAAACCGTGTATGTGGTAGACAACTTTATACTCGTGTCAATGGGAAGATGTAATGTATTGACTAAATAATTTTTTAAACTTTAAATTTTTACAAATGATCCCGCCATTTAGATGAAAATAATTTAATTTTTCTTGCACACAATTAAATCAGTCGTCTTCTCAGACGAGTTTTATGATGACTACGAGGTACATCAAGATCATTAATACATTGTTGTGTTAGAATGGACGTTAATAAATCTTGTGCGTAGTTCTCTATTGACGCTTTAGTCTGTTAAATGATGTCAATTAATAAATAACTGAATTTTAACATTAGGAAGATTAAGTAAGGCAGCTTTTCAATGCAAGTATAATGAGCAACGTTATGTATGAGATAGTCTCATCGTGATTGAGTCATACCAATCATAGTTATGTTAATTTTAACATTGTTTATTGCATATCAAAGGAGTACATGAATGAACCGGGAACACATTCGAATGAGAGCAATCTTAAGTATAGGATAACTAAGAAAGGTTTAAAAGAATTACTCGATCATAGAAACTTCAAAGTTAAGCATGATTTGCTTAAAGCAATTCTATGTTAGATGGCGTCCCGAGAGTTTTCTTAGAAAACATGTGAATAAAGACAAAACATGTTGAAATGACTTGTGTTAGTCGGTGAGTACAATTCTCACACTCGGAGCGTGTGTGACTAGGTCATCAGGGATGCAAAGAAATGTCGAGGCTATTGGATGTCGAATATGAATTTTGAACCCTAATCCAAATCAGAATGATTATATACCTTGTAACTTTTGATCGAGAACACATTTTATGTAGAGATGTCTATTTAATCAGCTAATTAAGGCTCCCACGAAAACCCACTCTGACACGAACAAAGAATCTTAGTTTAAACCGAAAATGAGAAAAGGAGGCCGAGACTAATTTCTCTTCATTAGCTTAACCTCGCCCTATCTCATAAATATATATATATATATATATATTTATTTACTTCAGAAAACTATATTAATTATAAATTTTAGTTTTTAGAAATTACATTCAACTTTATATATATATATATATATATATATATATATATATATATATATATATATTATAAAATATTATTGAAAATTAGAAATTATTCCTTAAATTCTTTTTAAATGAATATATATAATTAAATAAAGTTACCTGATAAATAATGGATGAAATTTCGACACGATTCTCACAATAATAAATGGAAAATTCAGCGACGTTACGCATTAAAATATGAGATTTAAATGGAAACAAAAAAAATTTCCTCCATCTACACCTCAAATTTTATGGCAAGCGAGTACTATAATTTAATTTAAAGTAAGAGCGAGAATAATTATAATTATCATATAATAATTTATTCTAAAATATTTTAGTTAATTTCTACTACAAAATATATTAAATATGTTTTATATTTTATATATATTATATTGTTTGTATTTATCATTCCAATCCTTCTATAAATATTTGAATATATAAATGTCACAATTCCCTTGACTTTAGTATATATGAAATGACGCATATGCCCTCTAATGCCTAACTAATTCACACCATACCCTTCTCTTCTCGACTGTACTCTTCCACTACGCCCTTCTCTCACCACTTCTCTCTTGTCGCCGTCGCCTCATCGCCGTCGCCACCGCCGCCGCTTCATCAATTCTCTTCCTCCTCCTTATTCTCAGGTATCTCTCTTCCTATCTCGAATTTTCTTCTGTTTTCTTTTTACCAACTGACATTGATTAGTGTTTCAATTCTTTTCTTCTATCATCTGTAAATTTTCTATCGGAGAACCCAAATTCTTTCCTCGATCCACTTCCTTGCTTGAAATTAATTGTTGATTTTATTTTACAGTGTTGCTATCTTAAAAATACATTTTGATATTTGAAGACATAAGACTACTATCGCGTTTCTTAGAAGGTGTTGGATTCTGCGCGCAAATCAACTACCTTAGCTTTTAGGTAAGTTCTATTTTACTTCACTTTGTGGATTTTGCATTTTGGATTCTGTTTGAATGATAGGAAAAGTAAAATAGACCATTTTTAACATCTCTCTGGACTCTCTAACAGAGAATTATTGCATTGTATCATCATTGAGTAATTTGTGTGTTTGTCTTAAATGAGGGCTGTTCGCATATAGGGTAGCCGATGATAAAATCTTCCCTATTTTTGCATCTTATTGCTACAAATAGAAGTTGAAATAATTCCGCTTTGTAGTCCCTTTTCTGGTGATCTTCTACTTATCTCACACTAGCTTCAAGCAAATGGTACTCTTAGAATCCTTTACCTGGAGGCAGTGGTGACATATTTCCACCAGACCCCATGCATTTGTTTGCCCTTTTTCCTTGAAATTTATGTCCGTTTCCTTCTTGTAGGGAAAAAGACCAGCATATAGTAGTTGGGTTTTTGTGAATATTCATGGTTGGGCAATGATATTTGTAGTATATAACTGAGGGGCTGAAATTCATGATTAGTGCTGAAGCTGCTGAGAACTGTTTCTGTAATAGAGAACACATCATACACGGAGGTCCTGAAGGGGCAAATTTTTTTAACTGAGACTGATAGAAAGGCTATAATACAAAGGGTAGCTATATAAACTCTAATCCTAATCAACTTGTATTGTCCTTTGTGAACTTGTTGAAGGCTGTTAGAACCAGTTTGATGCTTGGTTTGGAAACGTATTTGTTTCTTTTTTACTGGAAAAATACCATGGCTATGAAGAAAATGGCACATAAAACAAAAGGGAGATGAGGCATATACTTAAAAAGATAGCCATAGGGATTTCATAAATTTCGTCCTAAAATAAACCCCCATATTTAAAAAGGTTCAGAGAAAAAACACTTCATAAAGTAACCTTAAACATGTCATAGGTCTCAATGTCTCATCGTCCCCACAGCTTGTCTGGAAGGGTGTAGACTTTCTTTTGTTCCAGACTTCCCAAAGTAGAGCAAGTAGCACTTTAACTAAACAGCCACATAAAAAGAAGATAAGCTATGACTATGAAAATATGTTAATTTTTACACCTTGAGAGGCCCAGTAAAGATAAGAAATCAAAGATGTCAAAGCATTTCTCTCTGTCCTTGAAGACACAGGGACCATACGAAAGTTCTAATAAAGTTCGGTCATAGAGTTTTTTTCTCCCTTGTGAAAGGATGACCAACCATAAAAGAAGAAAGCTCTCATGTACCATGTCATAGTCTTTTCTTCTTCTTCTTCTTTTTTTTTTTTTTTTTTTCAGAATCTATGTCTTCTTAGGGTTGGCTGTAGCTTCCTGACAACACACTCCCTCTTGGCCCTCCTTCTGGGTTTTTCTCTGATGAGTGACCACTCGGGAAGTGAATACTCATCTCTGTTGTTGATGGTCTTGATTACATAATCCATGGTAGCTGGCAATGGATTGTTGGGGGCGAGAGATGAGAGAGAGAAGAGAGAGAATCATTACCAAGGTGAAGCCAACAAGCAATTTTACTACATGAAAGAGGGGAATGAGGCCCCAAGATAAAGGAGATACACATGGTTTTGCGATTACAATGTTCTCATTTGTCTTTTTTCTTTGCATTTCTGCTGTGAATCATTTCATTTCTTGTTAGGGGAAAAAAAAAAAAAAACTTACAAATGGGTATAACAGGGTTCTTTATGAAGCGCATTCCCACTGCCTGGGTGATATCCTAACAAGCTTCTTAGAAAAGGCACTCACCATTTGTGCATTTCAGTTGCTATGAACTACCATATTTGAAAAGAAATATATTTGGTTGGGCTGTAATGGCCTCATTCAGTTTAATGGCCTGAAGGTTAGGCCACAATGGTCTTTCTCCAAGGGCATCTTTGTTTCTGACTTTCTCTGCCTAGAATCTGATATTTGTTTCTTTCTCTACATGGATCATCTTTGTTTCTACCTTTCTTCACATGGAGTCTCCAAATTTTACTTTGCCGGATGGCTTTGTTCTATGTTAACCCATAATGCTGAGGGGAGCCTCTTCACCTTGTTCAGGCAAATACATGCTTCTTTATCTTCATTGCCTGGTAAGAACTGGGCCATGACCCCAATTTCCTAGACATTAGGTGCCCAAGAAGATGTAGATCGATAGCTTCCATTTGGAGAGTCCCAAAAGTAAGAACTAGGCCACCAATGCTCATTACACGAGCATACTAAGAACTAAAGATAATTTGCAATGGATGCCCATAAATTGAAATTTTTATGGTTTTTATTAGATCTAATGCTTCCTTGAAGTGCTTGATAGTGGTGAAGGGATGTCGTTTGGTTCCCATGGGAGGAGATGAGGATGGTGTCTGACAAATTAAGTGATGAATGTGTAGGAATTTTTGCCAACATTTAAACCCCTTTAAGTTCTCTGCTCGATACATGGGATAACCTCCTAGATTCTATGTTTGGTAAATGAAAATGGAATCTTCAAGGGTGAGAGAGATCTTATAAGACTATTTTCTCTTTGGGCTTCAGTGAAAGGGTCTTTTTGTAATTATTCACAAGGTTGTATTTTACTTCATTGAAGCTCTCTTGATTGACTCCCTTTTATGTGGGCTTCATTTGTGTATGTCGGTGTATTCTTTTATTTTTTTTCTCCATAAAAGTTCGGTTATTCATTTTTTAAAAGATACTGAGACGGTTCACCAATATTTGAAGGAAGGATTAAGGCCTTGCCTACCTTCTATAAGACAGTCCATCACCACCTTTATGAGGTCTCTCACTTCTTTCTGTCCTTTCACATTGCATAACTCATCAACTTCCAGCTTATATTTCCATTTGATTATTGACTTATTCTCATGGGATGGAGTATCCCCTGCCTACCTTTCCTATCCGCTTCAATTCTGTAGGCTTCCACAATTGCAATCCAAACTGTGCGAGTTTAATTTAGTAATGGCTGTAGTTCAATCCCACTCAAAGTTTGAGAACTACCTTTTTAACCCAAAACATCTTTTGTTCCTTATCCACTTCAATACTTAAAGGTATCCTTTTATTATTTAAATTCTAACTTTCATTAAGAATATAAAAGACCAAATAACACAAAAGAACCCTGTAACAAAAGATAAAGTACAATAAAAATAAAAAAAGTACGCTGGATTCCACAAGTCCTCCTGCAAACGTTTTTCTCATGAAATCTTCCTTTCCAGCCAAGTAAATCACAAAATTGCATAATAATAAATAAATTGTCAGGGAACTTGACCTTGTCCTCTAGAAAGAGAGTCCAAAATGTCTCCTTCAACGCCACGTGAATGCTCAATCTTTGAAAGCTAACTTGAATCCCTACTAAAACATCAACACACTCTAGTAGGAAAAGGACAGAAGCATGGTAAATGATTTATATCCTCAGCCTCACTACATAATACACACTATTTTAAGCCAAAGGCTCAAAAGGAGATTTTTGAAAACATCCGAGGTATTAATCAATTCCCAAAGCAACCAACCAATCAATTAATTGAATATTTTCTTGGAGATTCTTATTTTGCACGAGGTGAAGAAAGAACAAGCTGAGGATGGAGCCGAAAAGGAGATCAAGTGAATACATAGGACTTACAAGAGAAGCGCCCAAATGGTTCGAAGGACCATAAAAGTTGATCTCTGAAACCAGGGGAAAGAACAATGGGTTGAAGCATAGGCACCAGAGATGTTCATTCCCCAATCTCACAACCCAAGATTTAAGATAATATCAAATTGGTTGTTGGACGAGAGCAAGATCATTGAGTCCCTCAATTCCATTTAAAAAAAGTGATGACTTTGGACAGATTTGGAAAGGAGGCCCTTTTTCTTCTGAACATTCTTTTGCCAGGTATAAAAGAATGTACAAGGATGGATTGTTCACTAGTCAATTTATCCATCAATATATCTCTAAATTGGTGTTCGACACTATTATTAAGTGTTCATTGATATTTCTGATTTATCGTATATATATCAATGAAACGTAAAAAAAATATATCAACAAAAAGAATACCAATATGAACTTACAGCTACTAATAAGGCCTATAACTTATTTAAGAATAGTGAAAATACTTCTTTATTTATTAAATTATTTCTTTAGACTTCTCGGTTTCCATGTTTCATTAAGGAGTATTCATAGACTTTAATATTGTATTCATATATACGTGGCTGTCTTCTTAAAATTTAGATCTGGACATTTTTTGGGACATGAACATTTGATTCCTATGGCCGATTTAGCTAGTAGTGGACTCTTCTAGCTCCTTCCCGCCCAGAGCACTGTTTTCCCTCAAAGTTCTTCAATATTGAGCTACACAACTCCATTATAATATTGTAATCAACAACAGCAACCTTGTTCTCTTGAAAATGCCAAACACAGGCTTATGTTCCAAAACCAGGTCCTTTACATGCCCTCCTTTTCTTTTTGGAGCCCGAATCTGTTACATTGCTGGTAACGATCTTCATTCACAACTCAACCTCTTGCTGTAGAAGATCTTGATCTTTGGGAGCATCTTACTAAACATCTAATTGAAGATGTTCAACTGGTTAACCCATTTTTGGGTCAATTTACTAACTTGAAATTATTAATTGTTTCGATACATTGGCCACGAGGTAGATAAAGAATTTGAAAGGTTGGTAAACAATTGTCTTTCGGATGCATGGATTTTTTTACCTGCTTGATACCATTGGGACGATCATCATTATTTTACATGAATCCTCCACATTCTCACCTTGTGCATTCATATTAGAACTGTAATATCAATTAATAAATTTTTTACATATGTTCTAATCATGTAAAATATTGTCAAGCAGTAGATTTGACTTACCTAATGCTGGAAAACTTCCATTATTTGTATAATTAAGTAGAGTCCGGATGTTTCTCTTAACAAAAACAACCTGGCTTTCTGTAATTGACTGTAGTTTGTAATGTTATATTGTCCAGTAGTTCTTGTTTAAAAAAAAGGATGTTGACAGTTTGTTTTGTTCAACTCAGCTGTTTATTATGGTATCCTCCCCTCTAATATGCATTACTTTCTTTCCCCTTTTGGTGGCAGCGTGCTACAGTAGAGTTTCTTATACTATTATGTGATGCTGGTGCCTGTCTTGCTCTGATAAATGGCTGATCATTCTTTAGTTGTATCTGAAACTGCACTTAGTCTAGTAGACCACACCCTGGTTATTGGACAAGAATTTCCCGATGTTGAAACCTGCCGGAGAATGTTGAAAGATATTGCTATAGCCTTGCATTTTGATATTCGAATTGTTAAATCTGATCGTAGTCGATTTATAGCCAAGTGTTCCAAGGAAGGTTGCCCATGGCGTGTGCATGTAGCAAAATGCCCTGGAGTTCCAACCTTTACAGTTAGAACCCTACATGGTGAGCATACTTGTGAAGGTGTTCATAATCTTCATCATCAGCAAGCCTCTGTGGGATGGGTTGCCAGATCTGTATCAGCACAAGTAAGAGATAATCCACAGTACAAACCCAAGGAAATTCTCCGGGATATTCGTGATCAGCATGGAGTCGCTGTATCGTACATGCAAGCTTGGCGTGGGAAAGAGCGTAGCATGGCTGCACTTCATGGAACCTTTGAAGAAGGGTATCGCCTTCTTCCTGCTTATTGTGAACAAGTAAGGAAAACAAACCCTGGAAGCATTGCATCAGTTTTTGCAATTGGACAAGAAAATTGCTTCCAGCGCCTGTTTATTTCGTATCGTGCTTCAATATATGGGTTTATAAATGCCTGTAGGCCACTTCTTGAACTTGACAAAGCACATCTGAAAGGAAAATACTTGGGAGCCTTACTGTGTGCTGCTGCTGTTGATGCGGATGATTCATTGTTCCCATTGGCCATTGCAGTTGTTGATGTGGAGAGTGATGAAAATTGGATGTGGTTCATGTCAGAGTTGCGCAAGCTTCTTGGGGTAAATACTGATAGCATGCCTAGACTAACAATACTATCTGAAAGACAAAGAGGCATTGTGGAGGCAGTCGAAACCCATTTTCCGACTGCCTTCCATGGATTCTGTCTGCGCTATGTAAGCGAAAATTTTCGTGATACATTTAAAAACACAAAGTTGGTCAATATTTTTTGGAATGCTGTTTATGCTCTCACTGCAGCTGAATTCGATAGCAAAATCGCGGAGATGGTGGAGATCTCACAAGAAGTAATAACGTGGTTTCAGCATTTCCCTCCCCAGTTATGGGCTGTAGCATATTTTGAAGGTGTGCGATATGGCCATTTTACTTTGGGGGTTACAGAGTTGTTGTATAATTGGGCACTCGAGTGTCACGAGCTCCCCATTGTGCAGATGATGGAACATATTCGTAATGAGATGGCATCTTGGTTTAACGATCGGCGTGAAATGGCAATGAGATGGACCTCCATTCTCGTACCCTCTGCTGAGAAGCGAATTGCCGAGGCAATTGCAGATGCTCATTGTTATCAAGTACTTCGTGCAAATGAAGTTGAGTTTGAAATCGTCTCAACCGAGCGGACAAATATTGTGGAGATACACAGTCGTGTGTGCTCTTGTCGTCGTTGGCAGCTATATGGTCTGCCTTGTGCTCATGCTGCAGCTGCTCTAATGTCCTGTGGGCAGAATGCTCAAGTATTTGCTGAGCAATGTTTCACCGTTGATAGTTTTCGCCAAACTTATTCACAAATGATATTCCCAATCCCTGATAAGAGCCTGTGGAAGGAACCGGGCGAGGGAGCGGAGGGCGGAGGAGGGGCAAAGGTTGACATCACAATACGCCCTCCCAAAGTTCGTCGCCCACCTGGAAGGCCGAAAAAGAAAGTTCTAAGAGTCGAAAATTTAAAACGCCCGAAAAGGATTGTACAATGTGGTCGCTGTCATTTGTTGGGACACTCTCAAAAGAAGTGCACCATGCCAATGTGACATTCGGTAGACTGTTGAATATATAACATATATGGTTCCCTCAGAAATGCAATAGAATTAGTGGTCTGTGCAATGTCAATTCTCCTGTAACCATTAGTTCCAAAATAAGATACCAAGTTAATTTTGGCCTGATTACATAGTTTCTTTCTAAGTTTACCATTCTTCCTCATCAACTGTCATTTTAAGGTTTCCCACTCCTTTGTCACAATATCGATATGTATATTATTTATGAGAACTAATATATCTTCGTTTATTCTTCGCCCCTTCTCTTTCTTTAGCTTCATATTTGGGTTGTGCCAGCTTCTTACTTCGCCAAGGAACTTGATGAAAAAGGAAAAGAAAAGTAATATTGATTGCCATTTTGATCGATTATCAGCATATATCAATCAAATTTGTTTCTCATGACAACTAATCAGGGCAAATAATAAAGTGCACTCCAGTTTCTCATCGAGAGATCCTATTGATCCTATAACGTCCCAGATCCACCGCTAGCAGATATTGTCCTCTTTGGACTTTCCCCCGTTAGCAGATATTGTCCTCTCTGGGCTTACCCTTTCGGGCTTCTCCTCAAGGTTTTAAAATGCATCGGCTAGAAGAAGGTTTTCACACCCTTATAAATGGTGATTTATTCTCCTCCCAACCAACGTGGGAGACATCACATATCCAGACTCCAACCGCTCGCTATTTTCTATCCAAAGAACTCCATTTTCCATAATCAATATACAGCCCAGCTTTTACTTGAGCAAGTTATTGTAGAATCTGCCACGGACGTCAAATTCACCCTGTGTCCTTTGATCGAGGAGGTCATGGCAAAGCTCAGCTGATTGATTAAGAATCAGATTTAGAATACTCACCTTTTCTTTTAACTCTACTGTCAACCTAGCCATTCTCGAGAAATACTCTTGATTTGCCAGCTGATTGATTAAGAATCAGGCTTAGAATACCCGCTTTTTCTTTTAACTCTACTGTCAACCTAGCCATTCTCGGGAAATACTCTTGGATCAAAACATAATGCAGTCTCATCTCTCTACAAGAAGATTATTCAATCTAAGAGCAAGAATTATGTCTAAGATGAAGAATTAAAGGGTTTGGGTTTTCCTTCTGAAATATAAAATTTCGTTCACATAACTGGAAACAGGATAGAACAAGACAGTGCCGATTATTAGCAATATCATCTAATATCACCCAGAAAAAAACAGGTATTACGCGTGAAGGAGAAATACTAGAATAGGCTTCCATTTGGTCGAAATACTGGAAGAGCCTCCATTTTGTTGTGCTTAAGCCGCAGTGCTTAATTCTTCCTCTTCCAGATCCTGAACTGCTCGTATAAGACCCCTGGTAATGCCGTTAAGATGCAAACCATTTGCCTCCATTTCTTCAAGCAACTTCGTTGCAGTTCTCCAATCTAAAGCCTTCAAGCAAAGAGATTGGATCAACTTGTTGTACTCATCTGCGTTCGGCTGCACTCCGAAGTCTTTCATCTCACTCAGTAACTTCAACGCAGCGTCGTACTCTTCAAGTTTGCAGTGACTGCGTATAAGTGTGTGGTAGGTTACAGCACATAATTTAGTGTGCTTCTTCTTTGCCTCCCCCAAGACTTTGTATGCCTCCTTCATTTGACCGCCATTTGCGTAACCACTTATAACGACGGTGTAACTGTAAACATCCGGCTTTAGCCCTCTACTCTCCATCAGTTTTATCAGTTCCATTGCCTCCTCTAAATCACCAGCTTTCGAATATCCATTAATAACAGTGTTGAAAGCTGCATTTCCTGGAGGTGGTCCTTCAGCAATCATCTTTAGAAGTAGAGTTCTTGCTTTGCTTGCATTTTTGTTCCTGCACAAACTGCGGATGACCACCATGTATGGCTTAATGGCATGTTTCCGCTCCTCCTTCGTGAAATCATTCAACATTTCCAGAGCCAATTCAACAGTGTCGTCGTCTCGACAGAGAGAACTAATCAAGAAATTCACAGAAGACTGAGGTAGGTTCAGACGTTTTTCCTTTGCCAGTAAGTAAACTGAATGGGCATCTTTTGCTTTGTTTCCCTTACAAAACCATGATATGATCTTACCAACTCTATTACTTTCAGGCAAGCTTCCAGCATCAAGCATTTTCTTGCAGATTGGCCAAGCCCAATCGTAAGAAAGGCGCCTGCACAGCGCTTCTACGGTAAAAAAGTACGACTCGGCATTAGGAACGCAGCCCAAACTCTCAAAACTGTCGAGCACTTCCAGAGCAGCTTTCCCTTTTCCCAACTTTGAAAAAAATGCTATCAACTGATTAAGAATCTCAGCATTCAACAAACCATTCTGCTTTTCACCAATTTCTTTAATCAAACCCCACAAAGAATAAGCATTTCTTTGCCGAAGATCACTGCAAACCAAGTGAACAAGAACATCTACAACACGAGTAGTTACTTCGAACTCTGGATCACTGTTCACAGCCCAGCGGAAAAAACGAATCAAATTCTCACCCAAAATATGTGGGGTTTCGAACACCTTCAAAATAAAATCCTCATGAAGCTTCAATCCCATTTCGTCAAGACTTGATTCAAATGACCCATCAACGGTACTCTGAATCAAAGATAGCACACTTTCTAGCTGTTCTACATTGACCTCATTAACCTCCCCTTCTTCCCCATTCCCAGCAGAAACTACAATATTTTCCTCTAAGAGATCACTATTTCCCTCAATACCCACAGACTCCCCATCAAACTCATGAACTTCTTCACTAGTAACATAGTTTTCAATCAGCGTATCACCACCTTCACCAATCTCCACCGTTTCCGCTGAAACCGATTCAAAATTCTCTGACGACTCAGAATCTGAAGAACTAGAATAATGTTGAGAAAAATACCTAGAGCTTCTGAAGAAACAGGATCCAGGAACCGCGATCGACGTGCTCGAGTGTCGCAACTGAGCTACAGAGTCGGATAAAGGCACGTCCGAGTATCGGGTTACGCTCCGAGAAGCTCTCAATAGAGAAGCTCTAACCGCCACAAGCGACCTCCACATTCTGTAATGGCACTCGCGATCTTCTCAAACACCAAAAGACTTCTCAGTGCGAATGGAAATGGTGATGCTCTCAATTTGCATCACCATGAACTTCACTGCCAATCAAAGCAATGAATTCAGAAACAACATCTTCGATCAAACTAGAAGAAACAAATCGACAATACAAAACAAAAAACCAAGAATAGAGAAAAATTTGAGCACTTACCTCGAAATCTTCGAATGAAACAATGCGGAAATGGAGATCGATGCGGAGGTTTAAGGTGCGGCGGCTAACCGAGAAGTGAAATAACAAACCAGGGTTTTTGCTCTCGCATAATTATTTTAATTAAAATATTAAATTTAAAAATACTTTTTTTTTTCTTTACAAAAAAGAGATAAATAAATAAATCTAAGCCATCATCTTAATCTTCGTCTATGGTCTGATTTTTTTTTTTTTCTCTTCTAATATTCTAATAAATTTTTTATTTTAAAACTAATTTTAAACCTAAATAAAATGTAAAAGACTGATACCACAATTTTAAAATAATAAATTATTTTTTAAACAATTTTTTTTAATTCATCTTCAACTTAAATATTGGTTAGAGATTAAATTTATACGAGAATTTCTCGCAATATTAAACCCAATTATTATTTATTAAAGTTTAAGGGTAAAATTGTTATCGATATTAAATAAAATTGTTACAAATTAAAGTTTTGCAATTTAATGACAAAAAATAAAAATAAAAAGAGGAAAATAAGATTATTAAATTCGTTTGGTCTGGATTGATGGACAATTTTATAAATTTAAATTATAGAATTAGTTAAATTCATAATTGATTGATATCCGATAGAATTGGTTAAATTCTAACCGTCACATGAAATTAATAATTATGGAGTCATTTTATTCGTTTAGGTAACATTATATTATTAAAACATTTTTTTTTTTAATTTTTAAAATACATGAACTCTTCAAAAAAAAAAAGTTGGCAAATAAGTGAAAAAGATCAACGCCACGTGTCATCATCCCCTACCTAATCATTTGTTCTATTCTTTATTTTCAATCTTACGTGTCCAAACTTTGGACACCTCTTCAATTTTGTCATAGCTTTGATGGCTTACGTGGCATCTATCTAAACTTTTAGATTTATATTTTTTTTAAAATATTTAATACATCTCTGTAATTTTGTAGTTTTTTTTTTTTTTTTTTTTTTTTTTTTTTTTTTTTTTTTTTTTTTTTTTTT